TGTAAATAGTTTAATGTCCATAGTCTGGGCACAGATGCACTAACATCTCCTGGGGCCTTCTAATAAACAATATGTACATATTAACCACAGTTTGGTGGCGCACTTAAAAAGGAGAACTACGAGGTGAGTGATTTTCACTCAACCTCGTAGTTCGAGCCGACGTGTGACAATTAAACTGTCACACGTCGGCTCAATAGATCGGGAAGTGAGCGAACACATGCCGGCGCTCGCTCACTTCTCGATCATCTCCTGCAGAGAGCCGGGCTGGCTCTGCCTCTAGATAGGCAGAGCCAGCTGTCAATCACGCAACTGGGTGGATCTTGACAGTATTGTCGGGATCCGTCCTGGCTGCGGCGGTCTCAGTATACTGCGGGCTGTAGCTCGCGGTATACTGAGCATTGGGTCACAGGAGGACGCTAGTATATGTCCTCCCGTGACCCTTAGGAGAACTATGGGGAAAAACACTGACCCCATAGTTCTCCTTTAAGTCATTTAAATAAAGATAAGGGCTCTCAAAGGTTGATTCTAAAGAAATAGGGATCTAACGTGAGCAGGGGGACTCTCAATGTATATTTTCGGAGGTGTCAAATTTGCCTGTGTGTGTGAACTAGAACATGGAGTTCCTTTTTAATAAAACTTATCCTAAACCTCTGTGAGAATAATGGTCCTCTAGAGTGTAGACTGTTAATGTACACTTCTGGGCTAGCTACTATATCAATAATGTCCATGTACCATGCTAATATTGTCCATGGGTCATGTGTGAACACAGGCATAAAAAAGCTTTTTAAACTATTATTTGATGAGTATAACATGTGGGCATTTCAATAGCAGTTGCATTGTACACCAGTTTCTCTTAAGCTTCAGCCAAATCGTTTTTGTTTCAGATAGCTGTGAAATGGTAAGACGCTTTGTCCAGTATGTCAGGATGTCTGTGTCTCTGCTGGAGAGATAAGAGAGGCAGAAGGGGAAATCCAAAAGTTGACAGTAGTGACGAAGAGAGGAGGTGAGGAGAAATGTCCTTGGTAGATTTCCTCTCATTTTCTGTCATGTCTCCAGAACAGGAAGTGAAAGGGAATGTACCCAGTGGGGACATAGACAACAATTATAATCTGGCAGAGGATCTAAACTGACCATACTCAGTTATGTCTATTTAGTTCAACCTGTGGGCTGAATGAAAAAAAATATAACAGATTCCTTCAGATGGTAAACAACATGAATGGAAGAATATAATGTTGGGCTACTGTATTTTGACAGTGGTGAGTGTGCCGCTGCCAGAACACCTGAATACTGAAAGCAGCGATTAGCTGTCATCACTGTTCGCCTGAAAATCTTCCATTAGGTTCTATTTGATGAAGGATCTGTCTTTTCTGATCAAAGGAAGCCGTACAGAAGGGTGCCACTCACTGAACAAATTTCATCCAGTTCATCATGAACCTGTAACAATTCGTACAGTGGATGGCCAATTTAAAGTGACACTAAACTCAGGATTTAAAACTTACAAAAACAATCAAGTACATTAACTATTAACAAAAATGTATGTTATTTGTGTATCACTCAAATGTAGATCCTTAAATCATCAATGAATTGGTGCTGACACTGTCCTTCCTTCTTGAGGGTGGCCACTTTTGTTCTCCGTGGTCCCAGTGTGTGTTGTAAAGAAGTCACTGCTGAAAGCAAGCTGTGCTGACACTGTCCTTCCTTTTGGAGGGTGGCTCTTTTGTTCCCCATGGTCCCTGTGTGTTGTAAAGTAGTCACAGCTCCAAGCTCACTCCCAGGATTGAGCACACTTTCATGTTTAGGTTAATGATTTATATCAAGATTGTAGTCCATCCCGGGAGCGAGCTTGGAACGGTGGCTACTTTACAATGCACACAGGGACCATGGGGTCCTTCCAAAAGGAAGGACAGTGTCAGCACCAATTCAGAGATGATTTGAGGATCTATAGCCGAGTGATACACAAATAACATACATTTTTGTTCATAGGTAAGGTACTTGAATGTATTTGTAAGTAGGGCTGCAGCTAACGATTATTTTCATAATCGATTAGTTAGCCGATTATTAAGTTCGATTAATCGGATAAAAAAAAAAAGGCTCCAGTGATGGACTACTAGTTTCTATTGAGATTGTAGTCCATCACGGGAGCAAGCTTGGCGCGGTGGAAGTAAAAAAAGAGTGTAGTGTGCAATATAGTACATTATACAGCGGCGCAGTACAGAATACCAGCAGCTATAGAGGAATGTAGCAATAGTACATTATGCTATAATGTACTATTGCTAGGATTTGTAGTCCTCTATAATGTATAATGTATAATGATTATACTGCGCAATGCAGATTACCACTGACCAGTTATAGAGGAACACCAAATCCCAGCAATAATACATTATACAGGGTGTTTAATATATTATTGCTGGGATTTGTTGTTCCTCTATAGCAGCTGGTGTTCTACGGTGTGCCGCTAAAACAGGTCCTTACCTGTTTCTGAACCCTTGTAAGTCGTGGCGGCGGCGGCGTGCTCTGCGGGCTTGTGTCCGTCTTGTGCAGTGGCCGGGTACGCGCCGTGTTACCATCGTCGATTTTAATCGACTTAATCAAATAACTGTTGCAGCTCTATTTGTAAGATTTAACTCCGGACTTTAGTGTCACTTTAAGCCTTCCACACTCTAAAAACAACCTATAAGCTCGAGTTCTACTTTAGGCTTTCGCATTTCTATCTATTATGTGAACATATACAGAATGTACAAGCATTATCACACATAGTTAGAGACAATGGACACTGTATACTGTATGATGTTAAGCTTTCTGGCTGACTTGACAAGTGTCATTTTATTCTTTACACAAGTTATTCAAGCATGCAGGGAATCTGTGTATCCTACCTGCACTCTGGTCAATAACCTAGCTGCCATCAGATGCACATGGATATGGAAATGTGGGTGTACACTGCAGTCAGTCATTCTCTAAAGGTATGTATTTCATACTTTACTATAGTTGGTGATAATATTGAGATTATTCACAAGAGACAGAATTACTTTAGTAAACAATCAAAACACCATAAATTCATTTTCCAAATATCAAGCTCTAGTACAGGGGGTTTTAACCAGGGACAGGAGAACCAAATGATTGGGGAATGGAACTGGATCTCTAAATAATTTAAAATAAAATGTCGTTGGATAAGAATCTAACCAATAATCTAACCATTAGATTGTTAATTATCACCAATTCAACTAAGGTATTCAGGTCGCTAACAAACCAGCCACCGGATCACTCAACAATGAATCAAACCAAGTTGATTTGTCAGATGACATGTGAGTGACATTGTCAGTAACTGGATCTACATTCCATGTTTTAATGCAAAAAAAAAAAAAGATCTCAGTAGATCTACTGTAGCTTGTTTGTGGATTTGTGGTTTTTATCAAATAAAATCCTTATGATTTTTAAATTCTGTTTCTAGATATCCACATTTAAAGAACTCTGTGCAGAAATTTGGTTAACCCTCGCAAGTGGGAATACCCCCGCACTGCAAAGGTTAACTGCTCATTTTTAAGCCTTCCCCACTCACGCGATCCTCCGAGCCTGCAGTGCTCCCTCCAGCCTGTCTTCTCCTCTGCTGCAGCGATGGCATGTCCTTCAGCGCCCTCACGTCCAATAAAATGTATTGGGCGTGATGACTCGTGGATTGCCAGACCACTGCAGTGCAGGGAGAGAGACGCTCAAGCGCCTGGTTTAAGTGCCAGCCAGATTAGAAACTCAGGTGAGTATAACTTTTTTTCTTTGACCCTTGATGAAAACAAGCAGTAGCCCCACTGCAAGGTTTAATAGAATTCCTTCCCAGAGTTCTTCTTAATCAAATCAAACTATTGGAGTCTTCAGAAATCTTACAGGTAGCTAATATACTGACGATTATGATGATTTACACAGTTTGAAGAGAGGTAATATTGGGACAAACATTGTAAATGTAAAAAGGTTATAAACTGGACTGGTAGCCATTCAGGTTTTCCATTCTTCCAGTACATATTAATCAAAAACATTCCAAAATAAACCTATTCATATTTTTTCACGGAAGGTTCTGTGAAGCCGGCTAGATAACACACAGACTTGGCAGCTTAGGAGGACAGGTTTGGGAAATCACACTGCCACAGAACTCCGTATAGCTCAGTCGTGTGGTATCCTTGTGTCTGTCTAGTGAAAGCAATGGCTCAGCCAATGGAATACTTGGCAGTTATGGAGATATTCTCTTAAGAAATGAATCAAAAGAAAAGATATATTTTACCATTGAGAGATCGTTCTCCTGTCTCTGAAACCACATTTTTAGAAAAATTGATCAATCTGGATCATTTTGGGCTTTTTTGAGTGTTACCTCGGGTTCCACTTAACCATAATAGCAATATATTGCATTCTGAATTTTTAAAGTCCCAAAGGCCTGCAAAAAATTGAGTACATCTATATGGACTGTCAGTTTTGTCAGCTATGAAATGCCATAATCTGAGTAAAAGCTCTAATCCATAAAAATTCAGACCCTAATAAACCACCTTCAAAAACGCAACAGACAGTGTAATTACTGAGATCACCCAATCTTATTGCTCTCATAGAACTACATATAACTACAGGAAACTTATTCATGAATATGTTTGGTGAACAAAACCCTTGACATTATTTGTTTATGATCCATTGGTCCCATAAACAGTAAAAAGGTAGAATTCTCAGCAACAGCCTGGCAACTGGAGACCAACAAAAGTGGATACATTTAATAAACTGCACTGATTTTATTTTATAACGTTACTATTTAAACATACTCTTATAAACAAAACAAAAAAAGTCAGCATGTTTAAATGCCAAAGGTAGCAGTAAACAGTTACTCATTCCTGTGTAAATAGAGCTATCGGCACAGAAAGCTTCTAACGAATAAATCCAGCAACTGAAGTTATCTACATATGTGAAAAAAAAACAAAGATGTAAAAAGCTGCCGCAGGTTTATCTGGTAACTAGTAAGATTTTGTAATCACCTCAAGCACTTGTCGGGCTCCTCTTCATCTTGGACACAGAATTCCGTCTGTACCATCTCCTGTTTCAGTTCCCCGATCTCTGTGGCAATGGAATCAATGAGCTGGGGAAGGGCAAAACACACTGACGTGAGTTGGTTGAACAGGCGTGTTAGCAGGCAGGTTTAGTTACTTTACTGTGAACAGGCAGCAGTGTGTGCATATCTGTACGCCCTGAACTTCCTGTATCAGACAAGAGGATGAATCAGCGGCACAGAGGATGCAGCAAAGTAAACACTTCATACACATACAATACATATACAAATCCACGCTAGCTCCCACCTCCTCCTTTACAGCAACTTTCAAACCTTTACCAGTTATGAAATCACCATCATCATATCTATCATGGCAAAGCATCACAAGTACTAAAAATTTCATTTAAAAAGGTAAAAATCATTTACAATGAATTTCTCAAAGGGTTTTGGTAATGTTTTGCAGTTATTAGCAATGTTCTATTAAAGTGTATCTAAACTCAAAGCAAACATTTAATACAGGGGTCTCAAACTCAATTCACTCGGGGGCCACTCGACACATTTCTTTCTCCCAATTCACTCGGGGGCCGCTTGCCAAATTTCATACTTTAAAATAAAATGTAACTATATCCGGTGTGGTACTACAAACACTAATATATGCACAATAAGACCCCATTCATATCTGTAGGTTTAGGTGCGATTAGGGATTCCTGCATCAGGAACTTGCGTGTTCCTAAAGCAGGAATCACTAATCTGGCGGTTACAAGTGACAGCTGTCACCCATTAAAGTTAAAGATCAGGTGACAGCAGCTGCATGTAAACGCCTGTACACCGCATGTAAATCATATGTAATATGATTACTTGCGGTTAGAAAACACTCTCCCTGGAAGTACAATCAATGTGCGTCCAGGGAGCGTGATTGATTCCCAACCGAATGTAATCATATCACATAATATACTACTACTTGCGATGTGCAGGCGTTTACATGCAGCTGCTGTCACCTGATCATTAACTTGAAAAGGGGACAGCTGCCGCTTTTAAATGCTAGATTAGGCATTCCTGCTGCAGGAAAACGCAAGTTCCTGATGCAGGTATCCCTAATCGCACGTAAAGATACAGGTGTAAATGGAGCCTAATACACTTCTACTTCCCCCCATACACATAAGAAATACTACCCCTGCACATATAAAATAATACACCCCTCCCCTCCACACACACATATATGTCTATAGAACAATACAATCCCAGTCCGTCCCCAAACACACACACAATATATATATATATATACACACACACACATATATATATATAAAATAATACAATCCCATTCCCCCAGCCCCCCCCACCACACAAACACATGTGAAATAAAATACAGAGCCCTCTCTCCTGCTTACCTTTTTGAGGGGAGGAGGCTGTGAGGAGCATGATCCCTGATGCTTGATTGGTAAGGTCTGCTGCAGACCCTTACTAATCAATCCGAGTGGCGGCACAGAAGCAGCTCTGCGGTCTGCATGCGACAGAGATGCAGACCGTGTAGCAGCTCCCGCAAGTAAGGTATGCGGTCCGTGACCACGTACCTGACTTGTGAGCTGGCTGCAGGCCACATAGTATCGGCTCGGGGGCCGCAATTGGCCCACGGGCTGGTACTTTGAGACCACTGATTTAAATATATTAAGGCCTTCCAATCATTAAAATAGCACTCTGGTTAAAAATGTTATTAACCCTTGCAGTGGGGCTACCCCCGCAATGCAAGGGTTAAGTGCTCGTTTTTTTCTAGGTGCTTAAAAAAAAAAAAAAAAAAGTTATACTCACCACACCATCCAAGCTGGCTCCCTGCTTCTGTGATCACTGAAGCATGTCTCCTCCTCCGATGTACAGATGGACTGCTCCTTAAGGGGTATGCCCCGAGTATAGACCGCAATGACACCAGTCTCCTTAGACTGCTGCAGCAGAGGGGGAGAGACGCTCGAGACAGCGGTCTAAGAAGAAGCTCGGATGGTCTGACCTGGAGTTCTTCTTTAACCCTTATGAGCTGTTTTTGTGGATTTTTTGCACACATATTAAAATGCAAATTTTGAACTGAAGATTACTTAACCCCCACCCCTGTATTTATTTCCTGAAAGCAAAGATCGTAGAAAATAAAATGTTGGCAAGTGGAATTTTTTAATTTTCATTTAATTTGAATTTTTTTAATTGCCATGGTAAACACTGTCACCAGGACACAAATAATGGGAAATCCAAAATGTTACAATTTTCAACAGAATAGGAATAGAGAAAAATAGACATCTTCCAATGGGCACAGGTTTTGGTGACTACTGTCTAAAAGGGGATTTCCTGCTACACCCACAACTAAAAACAGTATAGTTGGGGTTAGTTAAAGATGAATAATTGAGGATTAAACCTTATGGTTAGGGTTTATTTTAATATTGTTATACTAGGTTTTGGCCCTTAGGATAAGCGTTAGGGGTTAATTCTGAAGGTTAAATATTATATTCCAGATGAAGGTTAAAGTGGACCCCCTTTGACTAAAAAACACATCAGTATACAGCTCGGCACACTAATATAAAATTATCTTACATTCATCAGCTAAACAAAAATGGTTTTATTTTACTTACAATTTCTTTTTTTTTTTTTTTACTTCCTGGTCCACTTTGGCACAAATGATGTTATTGTGCCCAAGCATTGCATCCTGGGACGGTTACATCAGCCGGGCATTGCTGGGAAATCTCATCTGCAATCTCAGGAGATCTCAGGGAAAGGCATTTTCCTCCCCCGAGATGATGTGCATGGTCACATGTTCTAGTCACGTGTGCCAGAGTTCCAGGGAGTAAAGGGAAATCTAGTAATCTGCCCTTAGGTAAAATGGCCACTGTGAGAAGACTGGTGAAGAAAAGAGAAATAAGGTATGCAAAAAGAATACAAAGCCGGCAATTATCTAGAAGTATGTGTTTGTAGATTGTCATTTCTAAATGTGCCTTTGTTGTTATTTTAAAGATATGGGTAAATGTCCCTTTTAAGTGTTAGCGTCAGTTAAAATATAAGGAAAAGGATTATTGGCCAAATACTTAACACTGGGCTCCGGTCACACAAAGCTAATGGTAGTCCTAAAGTGATTTGTTATTAATAAATAATTGTGAGACTTTAATTGTGATAATCGTGCCTTCACTGAAAATTGGTGGGAGTGGCTAAATGTATCACTGACACTGCACTTATCATATCTTATGGTGCCTATAGACAAGCAGATGACTGACCATGCAACACTCCGTAATAAATGTGCTTTTCCTCAATAAGATATACCACCACCATGCTACCCTATTTACTTATACCATGGGCAGATTATCATATAGTTTTCCTGTGTAGCTATAATGGACTGTATAAGGCCATCTTAAAGCAGCAACAAAGTCAGTAAAATAAAAAGATCAACGGGAGGTAGGGATTTTTGGCAGAAGAGACATGCAAAGTCGCATGCCGTGAAGATGGCTAAGGTTCCGTGAATGTGCTGCGAACTTGGGGTGATGTGCACATGCTCAGTAGCTACATCATTAGAGGCTACCCAATGGCCAAAGAAGAACTCCAGGAACCTGAAAGTGCTGAGGGTGGAAATCGGAGCGGCAGGGGACAGAGCTATGGACCGAAGATCGATCTGAAAGTACGGGAGGAGGACACATTTGTAAGTTAAGTGTGCTCTAATGTGCAAGTATTCTGCTAATACTTAGGGCAAAAACGGAACATTTCCAAAGTAGTTTACTTTGGCTTTAATCCATGCACTTTGTCTGTACTGTGTACCCTGTCTTTTCTTAGCTGCCTTATATTCCAGTAACCATCACTACGCAACCTACCACTATCTGTGTATGTGAATTAGTCTCTGTTCAAACTTGTGCATCTGCATATTAATGCATTGTTTTTAGCGCACTGAAGTACTGTAACAGATTCTAATGCAGTTTTGTGCATTTTTATGCTTTATGCATTTTGTTTCGTGTAGGCTTTCCGAGTAATCTTGAGTCATAAAAGTTATGAAATGTTTTTTTGGCGGCTTCTGCAGGACTTTTGGTCATCAGCATAAACCTTGCTAGCATTTTCCTTGCAAGCCCTCTGGAGCTTACAGTGGAATTGTATAGTGATGTATTTGCCCTCACCTTCCATATTAGTTCTTTCACATCAAGCATCGCATGACCTACACGCTCCATCTTCTTATGCTGCCTCGCTAGAGTAGATGTTGCTAGGAGGAGGAGGCTGGATGTTATGTGCAAGAAACGCACCAAAATGCCATAAACTGCATGTACATACACTCCTATTGAAGTCTATGGGCCAGAAATGCACTTTATAGCACCTTTTTGAAAATAATGGGAATCCCCTTGTTGTGCACTGCCACGTGGCGGCCAACGCGTGACAAACTGCACAGCTGTAAACGCGAGTTTTCAATATGTGGACATCTTTGGGACACCTAATTTCTTTTTTAAAATTCACTGATATAAATATATTTGCACTTTTTGACACCTTGAGGCAATTTTTAGGGACTAAACACAACATACACCATTTAGTTTTTCTGAATCTGCATTGCTCTGGCCATTAATATAAAATGGTATTGTATTATGTAATTTATTATTGTATTCAGTATTAGACAAAGTGTTTTTTCGACGAGCGGAAAATAACATTAAAATATATTACTGTGAACGAGCCCTGGGATATACTTTTTTCACTACTTCTTACCACCAAGAGAAATTGAGGATATTACAAATTAAATTTACATATTTATATCTTTATTTCCTTTAAAAAATCCCTGACGTCCCTAGTCCTTAAATTATGTAACAGATTAAAGGGAGAATGCTCACTCTAAAAATAGAAAATTGTCTATAATTGTACATGAAATACTCATTTGAATGCAACAATAATTTACAAATGTATTTTTCTTCCTGAGCTTTCAAAAGATTCTGAATAACAATTTTCCAATATGTGATCCTGAATCTCTACCACATTGTTTTGTGCATAATTTGAAATCATCAAATATATGAGTATATTTCACAAGTGTATATGAAATAAAGTAAAGTAAATATTACCATTTCTAAGTGAGAATCTAAAATTTGCTAACATTG